ATATTTAATTTTTTTTCCAGGGCATAACAGCTACAGCTATTTTTCTCAACTGAGGCCCTTGACCTATTGTCAGAGTTAAAAAAAAAGATTTTGCTCTATAAATAAATCAACATTATTACTTCATGATCTCTTGGTCGACTTCGGTTTCATGTATAGCACCCTCATTCACAACTTCCTCAATTAAATCTTTCCGGCTCGTTTGGTTCGTTGCTCAATCTAAGACTACATGACAGCACTTTCCAAAGAATCACTACTTTCACTACTTTCATAGTAATTTACTTTCTAAATTGTTTGTTTGTGTTTAAAGATATGTGAAGAGGAGCCCTGTTGTGTGGGAATTTTCTTTTCAGATTTCCTTTAACCAGCTTCAAGATATCAACTGAATGGAAATTCCATCTCCAGTTTTAAAAACCATATAATTTTCGTTTAAGGTAGCAAGAAGTACATTACTATAAGATAATGACATTGACTGCGCCTTATGATTTTCAGATTTCTCTTACCAGTTTAAGAATATCAGCTAAATGGAAATTCAATCACCAGTTTAAAGACATCAGCTAAATGGAAATTCAATCACCAGTTCCAAAAACCATATAATTTTCATCTAAGCTAATGCGGAGAAGTGTATCATTATGAAATGATCACATTGACCACGCTTTGTCTCCCAATGATGATCTGCCTTAACAATTAGATGCAACAAAAAAATTTATATTTTTGATGCGAATAATGAGTCAGAGTAGCAGCTGCTTGTGAAACGCACGATGTGGTTTTTGCGAGTCGATAGCTTGCGGCCAGATCACCATGTTGATTTTTAAATGGCAGCGTCGATGGTCAACTTTTTACCTCTTGAATTTCAAGTTTTGGCTTTTAAATCTGAAACACGTCAGTACAGATGTAATTTTTAGATACACTTTTATAAGTAAAGAAAGAAATCACTCGGTAACAGATCCTTTAAGAAGAGTAGATAGTACTGTTGTCTTTCCACTGCTGTCATCAAACCAATGATCATCAAAGAGGTAAGTCTATAATAGTTAGATCAGTTCTTTTAAACCTTGTCTATCGGCTTATCTGCGTACATCACTCAAATCCATTTTGTTGAAAGTGAATCACAAGAATCAGCTAGATGTTTCAAGAGAGAATAAAAACCATTATTTTCTCTGGACTATTTCAAGTGTTTTTGTCAATAAGAAAATTTACCAGAAAGTGGAGACATTGATAAGCTTACGCGTAACCTTACCCTCCCCCTGCCGAGTACGGCTACACGTAGGCTAAACATGCACCAATTTTGAAGAAACTTAGTGCTGATGATGGCCTTAATAAGATAGTCGAAAAGCTTTAAAATTGTTGGCTGTGTAAAAATAATCTTATTCCTATTCAAAAGAGTCCAAAAAAACTGCGAATACTTGTGGAATATTGGGAAAATGGCTCTAAAGTTGTGGGTGCTTTCGATTGGTAAATCCGAATTAGAATTTTGAAATACAGATTTTGTATTTAAAAATGAAAAGCAAAAACGGATTTCGATGATGAAAAATCTGTCCTCAAGATGGATTTTGATTAAAAAATCCAAAGCTATTTTTCTTTTCTTTTTATAGCGATCGGTTAACCTCATTGAGACCCCTCCTAGAAGAGATCCTTTTTGGATTTCCCGGAAAAAGGCAAAACATAGAAATCCATGAGACCGGAGCTGGGTTTCTTAATTAAGATCCACTTTGAGGATGAAATTCCCTGCGTTGAAAGACATGTGTTACCGCAAAATCCGAATTCCCGATTTCAAAATCAAAATCCGGATTCGTCGAAGTTAAGCACACAGATTTCTTTAAACACGGAGTCTTCTCTCTGATTGGTCTAGACTACATGTAGCTCTCGACCCAGTTTCTTAAAAGCCACATTCAAAATGGCGCATGAGTTGCCGTGAATTTAGAACTGAAAGAATCGATGTCGCACTGAATAGTCGGTTTATTTCGACGGGTGTGTTATGTTTGATAACGTATGATGGTGACCTGTTCTAAAAAACTTGTCTCACCTTCACTTTATACATCGGATGTGTGAGGTAACGTCTTTCTACCATGATGAAATTCTAATGTTTACAAGGAACCCCTCAACAGGTGAGAGATCTTCAAAGAACTTTCAACCGATTCAATGTCTATGAAATGTATCTTACTACAAAGGAGCATTACGTACCAATTTTTTAACATATTTTGAAAGCACCGATCACCGAGGAATGGGGGTGATGGACAGAACAATGTCCTTCAGTCCATGGACTAAACCCCGTTGGACAACTCAAATGAACTACCCTAGCAATTTCACCAACCCTTCGATGTTTTTTCGTTTCGTTTTCGTTAGTCACAACGAACACCACGAAATTTAGGCGATTATTTTAGAAATTGTCCAAGTGATGTTACATTCTTCAATATCGGTCACGAAGTAAGGCGAGAAATCGGTAATATGAAATGTCCTCTAGTATTAATATAGATTGACGCTGATACAAAATGTATTTATAGGACTTGCACAGCCATTTTAAGCTGCATTGTATACATACTTATGGTCAAGAAGGGCAAACCCTTTTTTCTATTTTTAGTGATTTTCTTTTTTCTTAATGAGTTTAATATTTTATCATGGTGATTTATTGCAACGATGATTGCTTATCACAGGTTGTTAAGCATTAAAATAAGAGCTCAAAATTAATAGAAGGTTGATCCCTTTTACAAAATTCGAATTTCTGATTGTGTTCCTTAAAGTTATTTTTAGTTATGTTCTGCAGGCATTAAACATTCTCCCCTCAAATTTTGAATTAAAAGGCTGAAATGTTAATTTCTCTGACTTTTGGAATATCTCACCTCAGTATCTTTTTCAACAAGTATCATCATAATCAGTTGAAAATCCCACAGCATGTTTCTGTTCTGGAACATTTTCTTGTGGACAAAGAGACTTATATGTTAGAATGTTTGTTATTCCTAAACTGTGTGGTGTAGAAAATGAATTTGAGATAAAACTAAATGAACCTTAATTTGTAAAACTTCTTTCAAAATGAAGAATTTGCAATTATTTAGAGCAAATAACAGCCTTTCAAACAGAAACACTTTGCTTGAAGATTATAGTCACCTTTGCATTTTCATTCCAAGAGAACTTATGAATTGGCATGATTTATTTCATGTGAAAGAGATTAAACTGGAAAAAAGAAGAGCATTCAGTATCTTTCTTTTAAAGTCATTAATTTACTTAACATATTTTCATGAATTTGAACTCTGAATCAGGACATTAAAAATTGGTTGAGCTGCATTAAGGTTTTTTTCAGAGCTCAGTGAACTTAGTGAACTTTCATCTTAGTTTTGTTTTAAACCTTTGGCACAAGTGGGACTGATGTGTGAGTACCTTTGTAAATTTGTGAATTACTATAACTACAGTAACTGTGAACTCTCAAAGTTACTGGGCAATGCATGGTTTTCAGTTGCACAAAACTAGAAAACCAGATGTCAATGCCCAGAAATAATTATTGTGGGCAAAATGTTTTGAGAAAGTGCATTCACAGGCTTAATATTATGCTGGCTTCACTTTTTAAAACATGATTGCCTGAGGTTTGAAACCACCTTCTTCTCCCTCCCCTCCCTTATCAATTTTGTTGTGTTTAATTTTTCACTGTAAATTGTACATTGCGTTAATGCTGTTATCTGAAAAAAAAAAAAAACAGTCAGTAAAGTCAGCATTGAAAAATGAATAAGGACTCAAAAACAGTATACTATGCATGAATATGCTTAGACAGATGCTTAGTTTATATTTAGCTCTGTTGCATTAAATTTTTGTCCATGATTTTAGATTGCCTTATTTTTAACATTGTATTTTCTGGTTTTACCAAATTCTCAGTGCAAAAATGATATGAAATGTATAGCACAAAGAGTGAAAATTTATATTTAGATCTCAGAATTTAGAAAAGATTGAAATTTTTTTCAAAATTTTCTAATTTTTGTTTTATTTATTGTCATTGCTTTTAGTTATGCTGGGGACTGAGACTTTGCGTTATCTGTCAAGGGTATCAGTGTTGGTGTATCAGGGTGGGCCGGGTGTTAGTCTTCTTTCTTAACAGACTGGTAAGTCGAAAATTAATTGAAACAAATTTTTGACAAGAAAAGTTGTTTTTTAGGTTGCCATAATTTATTACAAACTGAATCAGGTTGGATATTTAAGAAATACATTCCATTTTGCAGTAGGTCTGTTCAGTTACAGACCACAGATGTCAAACTGTGGTAAGAAAAAAAAAGTGGCTCTTAAGTTGCAGCTGAGTGTGTCTGAGTGTTTCAAGACTGTAACAAGGAATCCAATTGTTTTATATTATAAGGAAGTAAAATGTTGTTCATAGTGATGTAATCTATGCCTCTGTCCTCAGATAGATTGAAAGTAAGATCCAATCAAATTGGATGTATGATTCAGCTTATTGTAAATTTTGTTTTTGTTTTATTCTTTACAGGACATAGACTTTGACTTAACAAACATGGAAAATATTCTTGATATTCCTAGTCTGAGGTATGCTTCACCCTTCAAAAAACTTGCACGGACAACAGTAGATATACTCAACATATGATTAGTTGTAGTAAAGTAGACATGATTTATAAATTAAACTAATCTGGATTAAAGGCAATGTGAATTTCTCTAACTTCCCTATCCCTTTTTTTCAGTGACATGATCCTTAGAGTAATATATATGATGTTGTGGTGGGATTTGTGGATCACAGTTCTTTTGACTGACATTGATTCGTATGAACTGAAATACCCCTTGCCTGATGTGAATCACTTGTACTTATCATTAGAATTTTCTTTCTGCAAATTGTCTTTTATTGTGCCTCAAGACATGTTTAAAATGATTATTTAAATTGAATAACTCAGTAGTATTGAGTACACCAAGTGTACACATAAGTGAAGTTTTTAAAGGTTTTTGACAATTGATTTTGCTTTCTCTTGTCACTCCAGGGTGTCCTTTGCAATGAAGTCCTGAAAGCTAAATAGACTTAATCAAGAAAGAAATTGTTGTCATATCTAAAGGTTCTGCTGAGATCCAAATGTCATTCTCAGAGGTATGTGTCAAAGCTTATGGAGATTACTGTATGAGCTAAAGACATGAAAGAGCCCTTACTGACCAGCAGTAATATGCATCCAAGTGTCTTTTGGTGCTTGTGTCACTGAAATTTTTCTACCCCAGTTTCATGGAAGGTGAATCGTACTTAAAGTCTGAACTCCTCTGAAAATTATACAGCTGTGTAAACTTTTTTGATTGTTTAATCTCAATTAAATAGAATCAGCAATCAGTGAGGCATAAATTTATTAATTATTATGTTATTTTTTGGATTTCTTATTTTCTTTGCCCCCATGAGGAGATGAATTCATTGGGACAAGATCATTGTTTTAGAACACCAATGATTATCTTACTGTATGTGCACCATAGCTCATGATGATATTTCTTTCTGTTGCCAGTGGGAGCCAAGACATTCCACACAAAGACAAAGGACAACACAGTGAATCCAATATGGAATGAAGTGTTTGAGGTAAGGATTTTGGTGAGTTTGTGGTTCCTTGTCCATACTTCAAACATGGGATATTTCATTTCTGATTGTTTTGTTTCTGATTGTTTATGTGAAGGCCTTTGCAGAAAACTCACATGGTCAGAAAATATAAATTGGTGTCTTTGATGAAGACTAAGTATCTGATGATGAATCTCTTGGAACATACAGTAAGTAATCATCCAAGTATGAATTAGTATAAAAGCAACTCATATCTCCAGTTTTTACATGTATGTGACTGTTTTGATGTTGACAAATGATGTTTTATCTCCTTAGTGTTGAGGCTGACATTAGTACAATTATTGTCCAACAAGGCAATGTTGAATGGGTAAGTTGTAAATCTTTTGCTAACTAAAGAGTTGTATGTCATATTCAACAACTGGTGTTAGGAACCTTTTTTAACACTATGTGATTTGATATAGCATCTATAGCAATTTTTAATTGATTGTCAAATTAAAGTAATCCAAGGACTGCACTGGGTTTACTTCTTGTGGTCCGTGATTGGTCTTGAAAACATGTGCTACCCTCTGAGCCAAACACATGCAAAGAGATAAAACTTATAGAGATTTGATCAGTGACACTTTCCTCTACTTTGGGTACTTTACCCGTTTTTTCTTTAAACTGAGTTTACATTCACAGGTTCATTTTAATAATTCTCCCTGTGTCCTGATTGGCCATTGTGATGAATTATTGGTTTAAACACTCAGATTAAAACTCCTAGAAGTGATTACCATGTAACTTCTCTCTATAGTTAATCCATACATTATACAGCAAACAGGTAATGAGAACACTCAAACTCATCAGGTACAATTTACAGTATTACCTTGATTGAAACCTAATTCTCATAATCAGTTTACAAGGAAATGTGTAGCAGCCAGAGGGGAGAATTGATGATCAGATCTTGAGAGTTAAAGGGTTATTTAATTCATTCAGTTTATTCTAACCTGTAATTATGTAATTTTTGAATACAGTGGCTTCCACCAGAGAATGCGAAGAGTGGCCAGATCAACTTGAGATGCACATGGTTCACACTGACTGCCAAACCAGAGGATCTCTCATCGGTAAGTTCACAGTCAGCCTAACAAAAGGGTTGTTTTCATTTATGAGGACAAGTTGAATAGAAAAACCAAATCAGTGCAGTGCAGTCAAAGAATAGTAAATGGAAAGTAGAAGTTGTGGACCTGTACTTTTGAGAATGGGTGTGTGAGTTGGTTCCTTCTGTGTGTTTTCAAGGCTCAGAAACAACTTTTCACCATTTTCTGTCTGTAATGTTCAGCACGTCTAACAACTTTGGCACACTTTGGAAGTACAGTAGTCAGTGGGAGAACTTGTTTTTTTACTGACTGGCCATGCTCAAAAAAACAGGACCTGAGTTTAGCAAGAACTGCACCTTGGTCCTTTACATATGTAAGCAGGACCGACCATTTGTTTAGGCAGACCAAGAGGCAAAGATCTTGACTGTGTATTATTTGCTTGTTTATTGGTTTTGTTTTTTGTGTACAGCCTGACCAAGCCATTATTGGTGAGGAAATGTTAGTGACAGCAGCTCTTTTTGTTAAACTGGACTCAGCCAAGAATCTTCCCTAGAGTAAGTGTGTGAATTGGGGTCTCTTCTTTATTTGATAGAAAAGAAAATAAGAATGCAAAATCTTTGCTTCTCAAAATACACTGCAAGACCACACAAAGTGTGAAAGGTCACTGTTGTTAAGTTTTAATGTAAATTATAATTTTTTTAGGTAACAAATGCTGCCTGTGGCACCACAAGTGCATTCTGCAAACTTACTGTAGGAAATATTACTTACCAGAGCAAGGTAGGTCACACTTTTGATTGATCATCCATAAGCTATTGTTTCCTGTGTATCATCACTGAATTGTCACAGATACAAGGTCCCACAGGTTGGCACACTACATGTATGCTGTTGATCTACAGGATAAGGGAGTTTAGTTTCCAAAAAAACAACTATGCTTTGGTTTTGTTAACTCAGTTGATAAAACTAATGGTGGATGTTACCCATACCATTTACATGTCAGTGTTGGTGGTTGTCTTATTGAAGGAAACTCTTATTACTGTTGTTTCTTACTGTTACAAGTACATTTCTCTTGTGTTGGTGTAATGGAAACCACATATCATAGAGTACACAGTTGTTTTATGTAATTTGATCATTACCAGATCAAGCTTTCATTAGTGATGCTGGACACCACCATTTATAACCCCTGTCCAAATCTTTTCTTTTTAGCATTTGAAGACAAATGAGATTTCCCTAGTTTTTATTTTGAATTTTGGCCTCATAGCTCAATTAGTGCTACTGCACTCAACTAGTATGTAGGAGGTGTTTCTGGCTTCTTTTCTGCAATTGCTTAAATTACAGTCCACCTGCAACGACCATTTCTTTGCCTGATTTTCATCTGCAGCTCAAATTAAATTAATTTAAAAAAAAATTATGATTAGAATTGTTAATGGGAAAGGAGAACGCCTTAAAACTTGCCTCTCAATGAGTGTCTCTGTACCTCAGTTGCTAGGAGTAGCCAACTAGTATCTTGAAGGCTCTGCGGGTTCAAATCATTTCAAAGCCTGAATTTTTTCAGGTTTTTTTTCTGCAGTTTCTTATTAACAATAAATTACAGTCTACCTGTGAGGATCATTTCTTTGCTTGAATTTCATCTGAAATTTATTCCTTTCAAAATTATGACTTCTGAAATAACTGAACAACTAGTTAATGTCTCCATTTGCTAATAGGGATATAAACTGAGATCATTTCTCTCATGTAATTGCTGCTTTCTTTATAGCAACTGACACAATGTCAGTTGGTGAGAAATAGATTACTGACATGTATTTGGAACCAGCTGTAGAGGTTTGAAGTAGGTTTAACAACTCAGAGAAAAATATTATATCTTTGATTATTCCTTTTAAAATTGTGGAAATTCCTGAAATGGTCATGAGCATCAGACCTTGAATAACTCTCACTAAAATGGGGAAGAAAGACTATAGTCAGCTGTAGAAATAAATAATCAGACCTTGATCTCATATCTTACATGTACGTCATTTTTATCCCATAAAAGCGGACTCAGTACTCGTAAAAACGTAGGAGATGGATTCAAGCTGTTGTGTCCGAGGCGGCTCGTGTAAAGTTAACATGCCATCTTTCTTCACGTGTCCATTGAAGAGAGTCGCCTGGAAAACTGATTCAAAATGGCCCTTTGAACGTTCCAGTTTCGTTTTATAACACGGAGGACTGCAGAGTGCTGACCTCGCCTTTCAGTAAAAGAAGAAGCCTAGCAGGCAGCGCGCTCTTGAGGCTCTGACTGCTCCACGTGATCGGCTGGGCCTGCAAAAACCACAACTGCAACGGCAACGGGAACATTACTAAACATAAGGTTTAATGAATAGAACAATGGCTTTGTAGGTGCGTTATAAATTTTTCTAAGTTTCTCTGCGTCCTCTGCAAAACTACAACGTGAAATCACCAAACTCTGCGTTTTTTGGAGAACGTGACCGACGACGGCTAATTTTTTAATTTTCTATTTCTAATTTAACGCCCTGTTCCTTATTTAGTTTCAGATAGATTTGACAGTGAAAAACAAACTAAACGACTTTAGAGTAACGCGAGATTCGTAGGTAAAATAAAGGTTCACTTTTTAACCGACGTTGTCCACGGCATCGCCGTCGTCGTTTCTTAAACTCGCTATTGTTCGTGTGAGGCATGCGATTTGAACAATAAATTAGCGAACTATGGCACAGGAAGCTAGTTTGTGGTGGTTTTTGTTATGGAATAGACACGTGTAAGTAGGTTGAGTGAGTCTGTGAGTTTTAGTCTTTCTAAGTGTGTCTTTCGGAATCAATCAATCAGTGGTTTTCAACAAAGTCAAAGTGTTTTTAAATAACATGTTATCTTCCAATATCCTCTGACTTATTTCGCCTCCAATTGTTCTAATATTTCGTTATAGGTGCGCGGTGTGCGCTGCTTCCCAACCGTTATCCAGTTTCTTACACCGTTTCTTAACAGGATCTCAACTAAGAAATCCATCTCAGCCATTTGGATTCAAATCACACCTTCAAATCATCCCTTGTTCTGAATGTAGTATTTACGTCATGCTATAGAAATGCAGCCGATCGAGAATAGCTATGTATACCTTGGCGGCCGTTGCAAATACCGCGGTCGGTTGACAGTGGTTTCTAGTAATGTTACATGGAAGTCCTCACCGGTTCCAATTTCCCGCCGAAAACAAGATGCCTAGTGCGACGGTTCCCTAAATTCCTTTTCACTTTCTTTTTGTTTTTTGTTTGTTTTTTTTGCTTTTTTTTTGGGGGGGGGGGGTGGTACGGCTACACGCAGATTAGGGTTTGTTATATCGAAAACCTCGATTTGACGAATTTGCGGAAAAACAACCAAAATGTTCGTTAAATCGAGGGATGGTTAAATTTTTTTTTCGGTGGTGTGACGTCGGGCATTTCGGGATCGGAACGACTACTGTAATTAACATTTGTGCGTTAATATCTACATGAAGCTACAGTACGCTGTACAGGTCTGTACATAGCTACAGCACCTTGTTTTAAAAGCACGGAGGACAAATTTCAGTGGAAGTCACTAGCAAACAGAGAAACAAGGGTATTAAAGAGGTAATTCCTGCCTCTTACAAGTTTAACTACAAGAAGCCTTATTGTAACTAATAAGAGACAGAGAGGATAAAGCGGATCTGTAGATGTGTCAATAGTGTCTGTCGGCATTCGTGGGATTCATGATAATCACAAATCTCGTTGTTTTGTCATTGCGTTACTGGCTATCTTAGAATTTTCTATTATACTGACGCAAATGTACGGAACGGCCATTAAGTAATAATATATACCATCCGACATACTTAGTGGCTTTAAGAAATTCTCGTATCTGTATACGAACGAAATTACGAACTGCGCCGTTACCTTAACGCCGTCGGCATTTATAATGAGCTGTTAACTGTGACGTCCTATTGTTATAGAATTAAAGGATTTTGATTCTTGTTGGTCTGTTTTGCATTTGTCTTTTGTCACCTGTTGACATTTGTTCATTATATCGGGTATATTATACGTTTGGGCTTCTGGATTGTTTTCGTTCTACAAGGATTTCCTTATATCGAGGTTCTTTCTTATACATTTTACTGTAACTTTGGTCGGGCTGAAGACTATCGTTCGTTTTATCGAGGACTTCGTTGTATCGAAGCTCGTTAAATCGAGGTTCCATTGCGCTTTAAGTTGCATCAGGCCTCGGAGACCAGTGGAATTCTGGTTGCATGGTTCTTCTGGCTCATACTAAACTTAACTGAGTGTAATTTTCAGGGGAGAGGGATATGTCTGATGGTATGAGCACATCCTCTCACTTTTACTTTACTTCCTTTTTTTTGAAGTGAAGTTGCAATTAATTTTTTCACAAAACAACCAAACTCCCACACAATAAATTATCTTGAAGACACTTTGTTTACATATATTGAAGTAGCTGAATTTTATCTTCCTTACACATAAAAATTAGAATAACAATGATACAGAAACTGTCCATTTTTTAATAATCTACTTTATAAGTATTGCTTGTTTACTGTGCAGGAATACCAGCTTCAGTTTTTGTTTCTTTAGTCTTGGAAATTTAATAGAATAAACCATTGAACTTTTTTTGCAATAAGTAAATCAACAGAAAAGTAAAATAACATCGGCTTCGTTGACATCTTTCAATGGTTTCTCCCAAAGATAAGATTATAATGGAAAAGTACCTTTGTTATTCAAATTCTAACTAAACATATGGAAGTAAAAGAGGATTGTTTAATTTTGTTTACTACAGTTTTGAATATTTAATTCCAAGGATAACGGCCGCCTGATAGTATTAACGAACTTGGAGGATTAGTTAACAACAAACTAAACTGTTAAATCGTGAAAAATGAAAAATAGTTATACGTCTGAGTTTTAAGGAAGATTATGCTGAATGGAGATGTGCAATATATATCACAGCCACAGTAATTATTTACCGTGGCTACAAACTGATGACTGGGTTGAATTTTATTTTGTGTCTTTCGAAATGTTTACATGTTCAACTTTCTTAAAATTATTTTCTATGGCACCATGTAGGTATCTGACTATTTTAATTCTGGTCTTATAGACTTAATTATTTAGCCCAAATAAATAAATTTAAAAAAGCGTTAGGGATGTATAAATTACCTAAAGTGAATTTAAAATGAGACAACCTCTACTTTTATTACTTGCGCAGCTTTAAACATCTGTGTGGGCTTTTTTTATCAACTGATTTGAGAATAGAATGATTTTTGCGTTGGCAAATTTGGCGACGTTATATAAGCATGCATCCCTCAATAGTAGGCCGGGAGACAATCGCATGATATTTTTAGCAGCAAACAGAAGTCCACTTTTATGAAATACGGTGGACTAATCAGGTTCTTTTTCTTTTGTCTAAATAACCAAGGAATTTTCGTTTTGTAATTGTATATTTATATGGTTTTGACTTAGGTTGACTTCAGCATTTTAGAAATAAACCGGTCACTTGACCTGAAATTGGTTGTTAACAGGGAAAGATCCTTTAAGAGAACCTCTTGACTATACCTTTAGACCCCTACTCTCGTCAACTGTTATTTCCAAGTATTTCTTGCCCCCCACGCCCTCTATCAAATAAAATGATTGCTATTCAGCCAAAAAATTCACGGTTTTTTAGAGTCCAATTTTCCCTCGGAAAGTTCTGATTAGAATTCTCAAGTCTCGGCTGCTTATGGCAGAGCTTCTCCCACTTTCTTTGTG